TCTAACAATGTTATTATAGTATATTATTATATTATATTATAATTGCACTATGTAAGTTTGGGGTTGGTACGTTTAAAAAATATATTTTTTAAAGAAGTCTCACATGCTTACTAAGGCTGCATTTATTTGATTAAAATATTATAACAATTTAAAATAACTTATCTATTTAAATATATTTTTAAAATCTAATTTATTCATGTGATGGGAAAGCTACATTTTCAGCAACCATTACTCCAGTCTTCAGTGTCACATGATCCTTCAGAAAAATCTAATTTACTGATTTTGTTTTAATTATTATTATTATTATATGAACATATGTGATTTGCTGTATTTGGTCACCATTTTCACCTTTTTGACTTTACTAGTGCATTTTTATTGATCCTGTGGTGTGACTAATGACTTCTTAAAAGTACAAATATACTAGTCTCAATTAATAAGAGGTTAAAAAGCTGCATGTTCTATATAATCATAAAATTAAAAAAGGAGTGAAGAACAAAATGTCACCACAGGGCATGTCAACAAAAGGTTTTCTTGCCAGTTATTATAGAGCTATAATGCAAATGAATTTTCATCATATTACTTTGAAATAAGTGTGATTTATTGTAGAGATCTATTGAAATTTGGCACCTACTGCCACTTGGTGGTAATTTGTTGAATTGCCCTTTTAGCCATATGTAGTAATAGCTTAACCATGCTTGTCCTCTCCAGGGGCTGACCAAGCTTCTGTGACAGCACAGAACAGTCTACAGCTCGCACAGTCCCAGGTGGAACATGTTCGACAGCTGATGCTGGAAGCTGAGAGACAACTCAAAGACTCTAAAGCTGAGGACCGTGAGAGGCTTCAAAATGCTCTCAGCACTGCAATGGAGGATGAAGACATCCCAGATGCATATTTACGAGAGGACTAGTCATATCGAGACATTTAGCACAGCTTTAAAGTATCTTAAGCACTCTGATACAACTACTGAAGCACAGAATTGTATTTATGTTTGATTAATAGGGCAAATGCTGTGAAATGTGGGAGACTGTGGTGCAGCCAGGAGAATTTATATAAATTAAGCATTAAATACAAAACTATGAGGGTAGGAAAAGGGACTTGGTAGATAAATACATTCTAGATCAGGGGCTTCACATTTGCTTGTAATTGTTAAATGCAATTACAATGTAATGAAATAGATTTAAATTTTAAAACAGTTTTGGATTTAAAAACAGCTGTTTCATTAATCAGAATCTCCTTTTTTACTGTGTTGACTATATGTGAGTTATAATTATAGACAGATGCTACCTTTGTGATTTCTTATTAATTTTTAAAATAAACTGAAAAATATTTGTTTTGGTTCTCTGTTTACTTTATTAGATATTTTCTGTTGTTTGCTTCTGTGAATTTTTATATGCTATCTGTTGTACTTTATTATGAAACTACATTAGCATACTATTTTAAAAAATCAATTATTTTTTCAAACTATTTCCTCTTCATTTTCAGTCTCTGTTCCTCTTAGCCATCCATGATAATTTACTATGATAATGTATATTACACACTAATACTTTTTTAATACAATCTATTAAAATATGATTTGTAAACCCTCCCTTCTAGACCTAAATTTGCAATGTTGCTAAAATATGTTCACTTCTCTCTCCTGTTTGTCTCCTTAAATTGCTCTTGCCATTCTCAAAAACAGTAATGAATCTCTCATCAGTCTGGTTTTTCAGAGCCAGCCTTCCAAACACTCTCATCTATCTTCACCTGTTGTTTGTGGGCTGAAGGGCTTATTAGCAGTTGTCTGCCTTTTTGGCATTTGAAGTTTTCTCTTTTCACTTATCACTTTTTCAGTTAGCCCTTAAGAGCCAAGGTCATATGCTGTTCCTTCATCCTTTCAGACCTCATGGCTTATAACTTAAGGCTTATATAAATACACACAGACACATGCAAAGATCAATCAGAAATGGTTGTCATTGACATTTTGGTTTCTTTCTTATTATTTGACCTGGCTTGAATAATTAAATTTACAGAATTTTTACAATACTATATGTCTGGATTTAACAGACGGTGGATAAGAAAAACATCTCGACTGATGATTGAATAACCAGAAGGTGGCGCTATAGGACAAATTATAAATGACTTACAGAAATAACACTTCTGTAGTGTTGACACGTGTGTGGTGTTAATCTTATATTTGTTCAATTCACTATTCATTCATTCATTTATTGATGTAGACACAATTTGAGTTTCAAAAAATCTATTAAAGAACTTTGGGAAACAAATTTTCATAATATCTCATTATTTAAAGGGGTCATATGATGTTGCTAAAAAGAACATTATTTTGTGTATTTGGTGTAATGAAATGTGTTTATGCGGTTTAAGGTTAAAAAACATTATTTTCCACATACTGTACATTATTGTGTCTCCTCTATGCCCCGCCTTTCTGAAACGGTCGATTTTTACAAAGCTCGTCGTTCTGAAAAGCGAGGTGTGCTCTGATTGGCCAGATATCAAGTGCGTTGTGATTGGCCGAATTCCTCAAGCGTGCAAGCGTGTGACGGAAATGTTACGCCCCTCACCATACTGTGATGCCCTGTCCGCCGGAGCAATGAGACAAAAACATTAAAATCCATTATAAACGAGGCATTTGTTGCATCCAGTGGGGACATAATTACGGATTATAATGACTTATACTGTCTTTTTACACGTTGCGTTGCATCGCGCCGTGTAAACATAAAACCATGTCTGCATTTGTGATCGGAGAAATGACAAACAACAAGCGCTACTCTACACTGCTCAAAACTCACGTTTGAATCGTCAGTGGCAAATTCTTTAAATATAAAAAACGTACTTACAGTCTGTGAGTCAGAACAGCCGGCATTGTAGTCTACTCTCCCAGGATCAGGAAACAGTCCTCCATAAAATGCGCTGGACACATCTGAATATTTGGGTTGAACTGTTCTGGAACAGTGTTGTAAATACAACTTAACCACTGATTTCTAGTCGTGTCCTCTTCACCAAGAGCTTGTAACACTCCAAAGAGAAAGGAAAAATTGAAATGTGCTATTTGCAAGCAAAGCAGGATCATGCCACATCACTTTGTGCCAAATTTCATGAGAGATGTGTCAAAACAAATCAAAAATCAAATTTCTTAAGAATTTAGGTCCTTCACCAATACCATACATAATATTGTGAAAAGATTCAGGGAATCCAGAGAAATCTCAGTACATGTAGGGCAAGGCAGGAAACCTGCAGCAGAGCAAACAGCATGGGTGACTGGCATATGTGCGAAGGCACCATTGGCATGGAGACATATACTGCCATCAAGATTGAATTCAATTCAATTCAAGTTTATTTGTATAGCGCTTTTTACGATACAAATCATGGCAAAGCAACTTTACAGAAAATTAAGTTTCTACAATATTTAGTAGTAGCTTATCAGTGGTGACTGTCAGTTTACGTACATATGACGTACAAAATCAATTAAAGACGTAATCAAACAGAAGATGAACACTATTAACAGCAATTATTATATGTCAATCAAACAAAGATGACGTCTTTCATATGAAGTCCATGGTTATTAGATCAAGACAATGGCAGGTCTCATTCTGCATGTTCTACAACAGCGTGGTTTCGTAGACACAGAGTGAATGTGCTAGACTGGCCTGCCTGCAGTCCGGATCTGTCTCCTATTGAAAATATATGACCAGTCATTAAAAAGAGAATCAGACAACAATGATCACAGACTGCTGAGCATCTGAAGTTTAGTATCAAGCGAGATTGGACAAAACTTTAACAATTAGTATGTTCAATTTCCAAACAATTAAACATTGTAATTAAAAGGAAAGTTGATGTGACAGTGTTAAACATGCCTCTGTCCCCAACTTTTTGGGAGTGTGTTGCAGCCATCAAAATCAAAATTTGTTTATATTTACAAAATAAAATTAAGTTAGCCAGTGAAAACATTTACCTTTTTTCTTTGTACTTTAGTCAATTAAATAGAGTTTAAGAGAATGAACAAATAACTTTAATTTTTTTAACAAATATTCTAGATTTTATGGCATTTCACAAAACATCCCAGCTTCTCTGGAATATTCAAAATTGTAAAAAATGTACAACTAGATTAGAGATATGATGAATAGTTTACAAACATGCTGAAAGGCCAAAGGTAAAAATTCATACTGTAACTTTTTCAAATATGGCCCATAAAGACCACAGATGTAACACTTTCTAAAATAATTTTATTAAAGGCAATTTTATTAAAAAAAAATAAAAAAAAGAACTGAACTGAACTGAGAATGAGCATTTATTAGGCTTGTTTAGCTATACTAAACAATGTGGCAAATCCTGGTTCCAGTATCAAAAACAATGTGGTATTTATTGTGTATGCTTTACCAAACATTGGTCAAAATGACATGAAGACAATAGAAGAGTCAAAAACACTGTTCCTTCCAAGTCATCATTCTGAACATTCTGACATCTTCATGGGAAACAGCTTGCTAAATGGACAAAGTAAACGGTTGATATAACGTGGTATGATTTTATCCTATCAGTGACTGCCCTCTGCAACCATTGTGATAGAAATTAATCTATGACTGCATGGATTTGGACACTGGATCCCACTTCAGGACTTCACTAGCATCCCAGTGTTGACTGAACACTGAAGTAATTTGGGGTTTGCTGGACTAATCAAAGGAAAACCCATAGTTGGCACTGACAGCAAACATTTCGTTTTTGATCATGCACTCTGTATTTATAAAGCAAAAGACATGTTTATTGAATCCAAAATGAAACAATGAGAATAAAAAGAATGCTTCACGTTGAGTGATGAGGTTGAACACAAAAATGAGACTGAGAGCTCAAATGCATAAACAGCTCCTCGATCCTTCCAACCGGCATCAGACACCCTTCATTTCCTGCAACTCTTGTGTGCATAAGTGCTGGTTACTGGCATGCTATATGATGAAATATGATGATTTATTTTCCAAGGGGGGCTGTTCTATGTTACTTATCTAGGAAATGTTTAAAACTGCAGCTTTATGAAATACTGTAGTGTATTTACTTGAATAAACTATAGTGTGCTGTGCAATGAGGGAGTTGGTACAAAGGAGAGTGCACCAAACCTCCTCTTTTAAGGGTCCTTGAGGACTCATGCAACATTCCTGGAGCAGGCAACACCCTCAGTGCACTTCCCATTTTTACAAAATGCAAGGGTGAAAAATTGCATTTTCAGAAAGTAAAATATACTAAACCCTACAGTGTTTAGATTGAGAAAAATCTTTCAGGCACGTAATGCTTGATAAATGACAAAAACACTTTGCAGAGTTTGAAACAACAGGTTCGAGCAATTGCATTTCAAGTGCTCTAAAGTATGTCCATTTGTTCTTGTTCCAAGACAACCTCTGGAGCAAGATGAGGACTAGATCAACCTCATTATCACTTCAGTTCGGGATACATTACCATTTGAATGTTACCATGGCATCACACCATTAGAGACACAAAACCTCTTTGACGGAAGCTTGCCCAGTGACTAATTTAAAGGGCTTTGTTGCTATCTAACAAAAATATTTGTAAATTAGACACTTTTTTTTTTTTAATTAGGCTATTTTTTTCACTACACTAATGTAATGATTTCATTCATATAAAGGTCAAAGGTCATAACGGTTTCAAATACAAATCAAATATCTCTAAGTTAGATAAAACGGTGGCTATTTTTGTGATTCTGACATTTATTTAAAGCACAATATAAAAACATAAAAATACAGATAAATCTACAAAAAGTGACTTCAGTTTAATAATTTATGTATATATGCACATTAAAACATTTTTCAAAACTTTCTTTTTCTATACAAGTCTATTTTCCATGACTCCCTGTTTACATCTTAATGCCATAATAAAATAAAAATATAGACAAATCTACAAAAATGACTAGTTTAACAATAGTGTGTGTGTGTGTGTGTGTGTGTGTGTGAGAGAGGCTTTTTGTAGATTTTTGTTATACTATATTTATGTTATACTGTATATGTATATATATATATATATATATATATATATACATACTATTACATACATACAGTATAACAAAAGTCTATTTTTCTCGAGATTGACTTTAATTTGACCAAAACCCTCTAAAGGCATCTCAATAGCCTACACTGTACATTTTCACTTTAATACAGAGACAAACATCCAGACATAGAGAAGAAATGTAACTTTATAGATCCCTTGTCACACATTAGGAATAACTGTGGGATGTACATCAGAATTAAGTTATTCATCATCATAAAACTGTCAGTCACCCAGTGAGTAAGTCCTTCTTGAATTTTTTAATCACT